CAACAAATACCGATATCAACAATAACAGCGCTACTACATTCAACGCTCTCAAAGATATAGATAGTCTGAACATGTGCACGTTACTATGTTATATGCCCACAAAGAAAGAAAAAGGCCACCTTTACAACTGATGTTTTCTATCAGCACACGAGCAGGAAAGTTAAAAATGTGACCAGTATTTGCATAGTGTTGATGCTTTTTGTTTATTAATTTTTCTTCATGGGTAGATAAAAAATTCGATTCCAGTGTCTATTGTATAATAGTGTTTTTCTTTTTGAGGAAATGATGGTAAATTATCGAAAGTATTTCATCGACGAGCATTGGTTGTGAAATGATCTGGATTTTAATTACTTTGTTAAGCGATCTTACTTGAAGTAGGCTTTACAAGGCTGGAAAGGCGAGGATCGATCCCTTTACGATATCTTTATGATCATTTGATCCCGATATGATCTCGTGTTTTTATCTGTCTTCTATAAATGCATCAGACATTTGTAATAGGTATCGAGAAGCGATTTGAGCTCCATCAAAACCCACCTTGTTGATCACCATGTGAGGAGACTGCTGTAGCTTCACTCTAGCACTTCATTCATCTGGAGTTATTTTCACGAAGGATGTCATTTCATTATCTGGTATAAAATATGAGTTAGTGACGGACGCATCCAGGATTTTTTTATCCTTGAGAGAATCTCTATTGAGGTGAAATAAATCGTTGTACAGCAGTGAGCGGATGGAGGGACGCCGCGAAGTACAAGAAGCAGGAAGGGGGGTCGTTCGATTTAGGGGGTCGAAAAATTTCATAAAGGAGAGTAAATATCTGCTTTGTCGAATAATACGTAAGTTTTGAAATACAAGACATTGTAGTTGCGCTCAAGTTTATTGCTATAGTTTCTGCAATAAAACTAAACATATTTTTCGTTTTCTGAACTGATTTTTATTCAGACTGGTAGACACTTAACTGTAAAAAAACAACTAAATTATTCTAAAATCTGTTGCTGGGCTTTTTCGAATACACTTACCTGGTTTTAGTTGTTTCGATTAAGCCGCAGTTTATGTCTGAAATATAATATAAACTTCTTTAAATTCAAGAGTAAAACGCACTGATTCATCATCATGACCTAAGGAATCGATTGAAAACCTGATCCTCAAAGTATGCCTTTGGGAGTAAACTCAGCGGACAAAGACGTTTTGTTACGAAGAGTCAAGCGCTTATATCGCGGGAGTTGGGAATCAGTTAGTGAAAGAGAGCAAGAAAAATGGAATGCTTTCAAAACGCAAGTCGCAGCCGATTTTCTTATGAACGAAGAAAAGAAAGTATGCTGATGCTTACTCTTAAATCGAGAGTATTTATTCTTAAAATATATACTTTGTCTAAATTATTGAAAACAACATCGGAGCCAACGCGTGTGTTATCGCCGATGGAGATCAGCTGCGGCAAATCAATGAATGTTGTGGAAAGATGAACATTTCGGCCAATATATGCTCCACACATTCTTAAATAGGCATTATAAAATGAAGTGCCGGTGAGAATTGATAACTGTATTGAGCTAAGCATCCACAAGCGCTGCAGAAACCAGCATGAATAGTATTCTCTAGAAAACAGATTATATCTTCCTACTGTTAAGCCGCAAGGAAATAGCAATCGTTGACAGATAACGTAGTGAAACAGCTGTTGAATAGCGATGAGAACAACTGATAGAAAAATAATGATAAACGATAACGGACAAGATGAACTGCCGTAATCAGTTGCTTCTATAAAACGACCAACCATCCACAATGGTAATAAATAGTGATAGGACAAGACAAGAAACCTGCTGTTTCAACTAAGAGCAGTGGTGATTGGACATGTGTATTGTTGAGCACAGTCACATGTTTCGGCTCAACAACCTCGTTTAAATCTTTCTTTTTAAACCTCTTTAAAGTAGTTCCCTTTGCGACTTGAGAAACTTGGCTACTTCGCGAATGGAGGGATCAGAAAAAAGAACAGAAATCTCCACATTCACGTGTACCGTTTGGCGGGCGAGAACAATGAACTTCATGGCATGGATCGACATTCCACCCTAGGAAAACAAATCAGAATTTATAGATATTTTGTCTTGTCCGAATGCCTGACACCAGAGATCATGTATTCGCTTTCCATCTCTATTTCTGGCCTAACAGAAGGATCTTGCTCCATGTGTAGTCGACTAAAGTCAGGTTGCGGGAGGTGTCGCCGATCCAGTTTACCACTAGAGGTAAGTGGAAAGTGTTTCAACACAATGAATAACGATGGAACCATGTATTGAGGAAGATTAATTTGACATTAGGCTCTTACATATGATACAAGTATATCTTTATTGGACTCTAAAGACAAGTACGCTACAATATGCTCCTGATCATTAATATCTGCTGCTTTGACTACTGCACAATTCGTTACATCGGGAGATGAAGCCACAACGATGTTTTCGATATCGTCAGCTTCTAATCGTTGACCTCGAAGTTTGAGTTGGAAATCTATGTAATGTAAACTAGTTCACCATTAGGAGTCCATTTAGCTAGATCGCCAGCTTTACACATTTTTCCGCCATAGTAAGGATTGTCTATCAATACTTTGGCCGTCGATTCGGGTTCATTCAGATAGCCTTTGAAAGCTAGAACCTAAAAATGTTCAATATTAATAAAGGTATCTGTGAGACCAATATCTTTCAAAGATTTTCCTTTTGTAGTTTGCTCAAAGCTACGAAATATGTAGCATTAGATAACTCGGAAGATCAATCAGGCTTTCGCACTCAAATCTAACGTTAAACAAAAGACTTTTGTTGAACAGAACATACTGATAAGGAAATGGACCGTGTTGTTTCCAACCTGCACACAACAATGAGAAAACGTTCAAGAGGTCTCTGTAAAACTTCACGCATCGTAAGAAGTTTAAAATACAAGCACTCGCGAAAGACTTTGTAGTGGACGAGTGGTCGACTCATCTAAAACCTTAACTTATAACTTACATTACAAAGTGCTCGTAATTGTTCTGATCCCGCTTTCTATAAAGTATGTCTACAGACTCATCTCCTGACCTCATAATATGCCTATTTTAGCGTGTAAAATGCTAAACAGCAAGAGCTAGGGCTGTCAATTACCGTTAATATCATAACTTGCATGTAACTACTAAGTAGTAACTACTACGTTTGGAAGTACCAGTTTCTGTAGTAACGGGGCTTAATGATTAATCTACTATACATACTTCTTGAAGCACACACATGGGTGTTAAGCTATCATTAGATTCTGAGTGCTGAGATATTCATTACCAAGCAACTGATTGGTTCTCGAAGGGAATCCGTCATCGTGGCACGTTGGTTTTCACTACCTCAGAAGCTGTGTAGCAGATATTTCAAAGATTTTAGTTACTGAGTATAGATAGTTGCTTCTTTCTTGAAGCGATTATGATAACTGCTTAGGGTCTCTCAGAGAGCTTTCACTTAACTGTGACATTCCTAGTAAGTGCTTTATTTTTAAATGTTAGATCTATGTTGACAATCTGTCTCTGAAATAATAACGCAAAAGTAAACCAGGCAGACACAATTTCTTAGTTCATAGAAAAAATGATGAGTGATATGTTGCGAAATATTTGTATTTTTAATAATGCAATTTTTTCAGACATCTGCGCTCAGCTCTTTTTAATTAGTTGCGCGTTTGAACTATAAGAGACTTTGACGTATCCTCAACTTACTACAAAAACTCTCAGGCTGAGACTCTGTTATCCGTGAAAGCATCTGAGACAAATACACACAACAACCTCCTTGTAGAATGAGGATATCAGAATTACTTCTCTTATCTAATTCACTCATCTTTTCGGAAGCTGCACAATTGTGTAGATAAGGCCTATGCAAATCAAAAGATTATGGGCTCGATGCTTAATACTAACCACTCATATACATTTCACGAGGTTGATCAATTGTAGTTACTTGTTCCATTTGTTCCCTCAATAACAAGAATTGAACATGAGGTAACGGTGAACCAATAGGTATGGTCAAAGTAGTTGATGACTGATCTGGATCTGGTACTTGATGAATAAACTGCACGAAACATTCAGACAATCCGTAGATGTTACAAATTCATCCAGTCTTACTGATATATGGCCACAACGTTGAAACTTGTCTCTGCTTCAAATTCTCACCTGAAAAATGTTCCTGTAAAGTACTGAGCAAAATACGTTTTACACGTATCTCTCAAATCATGAAAGTCCGATGATATTCGGACACTAAGAGCCGGGATTGTAGAGCATATGTATACAGCAATTATATTATTTATGACACCGATTGTAGCAAATATTTCTAAAAATTATGAACATTGGAATGACAACAATTATCTTGTTTTTTTTCCTTGGAATGTCATACTTCTTAGAAAGATGCGTTTTATTTAAAGTGCAGAAGAAAGCAGAAAGAAAGAGAAAAACAGATAAATGAAAATATATATACTGCGTATGTTTTCCGTATAAATGTGGCTGATGATGATCGTAGTTGTAATCGAAAGTTTTGTTAGAGAAGAATTCTCTTGATAGTTCTTGCACTCTGGCCTCTTTTATATATATCGGTGAATGACATAGCCATCGTACCGTTTAGCAAAACATTCTTAACAAATAAGTTGCTTACAAATAGATGTTCACAGTGTCGGGTTGAGTTTTCCTAGTCCTCACCCATGCGTAATCTTCTTTATTATCTCCATCTGACTATGCTGACAAGTGTCTAAATTGACAAACGTTCGTATTGTGTACCCTCCTGTTTCTCTTTTTTTTAACGATAAGTCAAATGACGCGCAGTGCCGAACGAGACTGCGTTCGGGACTTCTTTTGTGGAAGAGTGACATAGAGCACAATTGCATGAGAAGGTCTGTTATGATCTAGGTACGCTTCGTTCCTTAAACTGTAGCTTACTGCAATGAAACCAATTTGTTTTTTGGCTTCTATAGAACGTAACGTAATGTATGATTGAAGAGAAAAGAGATCCGATAGATCCGAAACAGTTTCGAGTTAGGCTTCTTAAGAAGAATATTCGCTCCGATGCAAAATTGTTGATTCGTCTCAAACTCCGTACACTATCTCCATGTCTGAACCTTGAAACCGAAATAAACTATTCATTATTCTAACTCATTTTGTACCTGAAATGCCAAACAATAGAACTGTTTTAAGATGAATAGTGTCATTTATCTAATTCAGGTTCACGTTCTGAATCAGAATCATCATTGGTATTATCTGTTGTTGAATTATCAAAAATTTTCGATGCGAAATTTAATTATTATTTAATTTTATTATTCAATTCTAATTTAATTTAATACTTTAAATGAAATACATATTATTCAATTCAAATTATTCAACATCATCAACAATTTGTAACGTTAATGAATGCTTATATTTTTTATGTTTGTAATGTACTGGAAATAAAAGATGCTGATCAGTATTGTTCAATTATTCACTACACCTAATTTGATTTAATATCGATAAGTTTTCAGCTCGTCAAAGAAAATCACTAACTGTAAAATTAATAATTGTAGAATAAGCACCACTCAATGATCTCGTATTACGAAATATAGATTCACATGATTGATAATTAAATAGGTATATACTTAAGACTTCTTTTGGAAGGTTCTTTTTATTTAACTAATATTATTAAGTAAAGTAAATTGAATGCTGTTAATTAAAACTGATATGTAAGCTGTTTTATTTATAAAATATTTATCTGCACTATTTTTGTTTTTTTATCTTTTGTTGCTGGTGATAGTGATGATTTATTAGCAAATGTTTTATTTTTAAGCCATGAACACCATAATTGACAAACAAATACAACAACCCATGCTGAATGCAAATGTAACGGTTGTTGATTTTCAGTATAAGTAAGTATTAACAACTTTAATTATTTTAACTTTAATCAAAGAAATGCTCCTGATGTATCGGGATTCCTATGTGTAATATTTAATAAATCACTGATGTCAGTTTTTCAGAAAAACGATAATTTTGTCTGTCTGCAGGATTACTACCTGTCCGAATGAGACCATGATTAAGTTTAGAATAGGCAGTATTGTCAATCTTGTGAGTGCTCGATGGAAATTAAATGTTGATACATCATTAGTTGTGCCGTTGAAGATAATAAACGGTTTCTCCGCTTTGTAACTAAATAAGAAGAATTCCAAACGTGCTTAAATTGTCGTGTAACCTTTTTTTCATTTGTCATTTTTCGTTTCAAAAGTGTCGTCGTATTTTAAATCATATATTTTTATATTAAGGGAGAGGGGCTACCATCCCCTTAAACATATCCTCAAACTTGGCCGGTATGTAGACAACATCCCAAATGGTATGCCTATAGAATAAAACAAAATTTTGTCAAGTATTGAGTGTTATTAGTTAATTAAGTTTAAATTCTAATTAAAACTTGAATTGCTAGTCCCCCTTTTGGAAAACTTTCAGTTCGATCAAAAATAATCGTAGAAGCGTCGTTCTTGCGTAGCTTCGGAGCCAATGATTTATGGTTATAGTTTCATGAAAAAAATTTAAAATTACGTTTTTAAGGTATGAGATTATAATTAATAAGTGCTAATTAATGCTAATTAGCGTCACTCTGGTACATTACGCTTTTATTTGTAAGTTACTGATTTCTTGATGATCGCGAAGGAATATATCATTTCATAGAGATTTTCAAGTGCTAGAAAACCCTATACTTATTTTCTCAAAAATTTACTAATTAGCAGTTATTTTAACCGATT